GCAGTCATTATAATTAAACTCCTATTTAATACACAGAGTAATTCATGGTACCTAAGGGTGGCATGGACCTGGAAGACACTTGCAACTGTCAAAGGCAAAAGTGGTGCTGGAGGCACTGTTCTTGAGTCCTGTAAACCCCAGGAAAAGCTAAGAAACTCTTCCAGGTTGAACCTATGGTGAAAACAGGTTGATGAAGATCTCCCTGTCTCTGTCTCTGTCTCTGTCTCTGTCTCTGCCTCTCTCTCTCTCTCTCTCTCTCTCTCTCTCTCTCTCTCTTTCTCAGAACTAGAAATCTGGACAGAAATATCTTAAATTTACCACCATTCACTCTGCTCAACTCAGTGGAGGACAGCAGGAGATACCAAGCAGTCTTAAATACATGCTACTGAGGTCAGTAACTAACTGCTTCCCAAAGTAATGTTGATATTGTCTCACCCACAAAAATAATCTATGAATTAGGAATTCACAGTTCATAAAAAGAAATGCGAAAATTAGAAACCAAAATAGAAGGTTAGTTGAGCTTTTTATGTGCAAATTCATAGTGGTCAACATTACTCAGAGTAATGTCAGAAACCTCAGAGGAAGTTGACAGAAAGACTGGTTTCTGAAGAAAACTGTAAGCATAGGAGTCATGGGTTTGCCAAAAAAGAGTCAGACTTTTGGAGAAAGGACAGGACTCAATTCTGGGTTATACAATCCTTTGCCCTCCTTGGAAAAGGGTTCTTAGGAAATTAAACATTGAACTTCTAACATAAAATGATGCTGGGGAAAGTGAAGAGTGTTTAAAGATTTCTTTTTTCACAAATTTTCCAACTGCCCTCATCTTGAAGTCCGTTTTAAAGACTGTTAAAAGACTGTTTAAAGAGGAGGAGAAGCTCCTATCATGGATACTACAGTTGAAAGAACAGACACTCCTTAAATTAAATGACTGAAATGTATAGCCACACTCAAGACCTATTTTGTTTAAAGAGAATTAATCTTTTCATTTTTCCTGCAGGAAACAGGATATGCATATTTTTAATTTTCCAGAGGAAATGTAGTAACACCCATCAAATGCTTACATATTGTAACTGTATCATAGTTTAAGTGCTGTTGACCCTAGGCAATTGTTTCCCTTCAATATGATGTAAATTGTAACATTTATTTTGTTTCCCTAAGAGTGTCTTATGTCTAGTAAAATCCCAGGGTGATGTCTGGAATGGTGCTGCATCATTCACATCTGCCCACTACTACCAACTGCTTCTCAGAAACATCCCAATCACACAAACTGAACGATTATTTTCTTATTATTAAAATACTGAGGGCAGGGTTGATTTCTCCTACTTCCTTAAATCTCCCCTTAACCCATCATCCACAGGCTGTTACTCTGTAACAGTGGCATGTCTACTCCCCCTGTCACCACTGTGATAGAACTATTAGTTACTTCCCATCCAGATGATTTCTGCTGCTTCTCAACTAGACCATCTCTCCAGCAAGTCCTTCTTACTGACTTCTAATCACTCATTAATTTTTTTTTGGGGGGGAGAGGTTACCAGGAATTAAACTCAAGATATCATGCTTGCCAGGCAGGCGCTGCACTGCTGAGCTAAATCTCTGGCCCATCACTTCTAATGATTTCAGTCATCTTCTTACTATCTACATCATTTCACTGCTCAGAACATGAATAGCCTCCGTGCCCACAGCGTGAAGTCTAAACTCTTTAAAGTGGTTCAGGGTATAACCAGGATGACCTTAACTATCTCTTTAAAGTTACTTTTGCTTAACGGTCACCACTGTTACCCTACATAACCCCTTGATTCCAGTCAAATTGGTCTACTCGCTTTCTCATCTTATCCTTTCCAAGAAGCTAAGCAGACTTATGGTTTTGATGAATTCATCTGTTGGAGTCACATCTAGCTTACAGCTGAAGCTCTGCTTCCCAGATCAATGAGACCACACTGACGTGTGTCTCACTCAAACTTCAAAACACAGACACGCTCTGGCATGAGTTTTCTAACAACAGAGAAATGGTATTTTATACTTCTTTTGATCATAAACCTTTACTTTTTCACCTGAATTGTAAACACCTTGAAAAAGAGCATATATCTTTTAAGATGACCCATACCCAATAGACTGCTTTGCAAACTCAATGGCTATATAATGAAAATGATATCAATAATATCTGTCATTCATCATTGCAGTTAGTATGTCACTGTGTATGTAAATGACTTAGGATGGTCATTTGAATGTATATTTTTAGACCCAAGTCCACAGACTTGGTTGGCCTATGAAAAAAAGTTTAAAAACTAAAAATGTCTAGGGAATTTTGAAGCTAAAATATCTGAAGACTTAGATATTTAAATTCCCAGTATAACCCATTTATAAGAATGAAATATCCATAAATGCCATAGAAAGTAATCTTTTCCTTTTTAAATCATAAACCAACTTCTCCATCCAAAGTAAAATTCTCCATTCCAACTTAACACAGTGAACTCTACTTAAACTCATATTGCAATTATTATATTTAGCAAACAAGTTTTTCCTATGTTTGGCAGTTTTCTTTAGACAACAATTGAAATATTTCCTCTTTTTCTCTACATATCCACTTATTTTTACTTTTGTCTGCTGTACTTTTCTGACATTGACTCATTTGCATGAACATCCTTTAGAGAAACATTTTCAGACTTCTCATTAAGTCACACAACCACTAACAATTACAAAAGAGAACCCACTAAATGGAAATGTAAGTCAAGGGAACAAGAAGATCTTGAGCCTTTTGGATTGTACTTCCAACTTCGTATATGGCTTTGGAAGGCACAGGTAGGACTGGATGACTTGTACTGGCTCACAGCCTGTGTTTGTTAAATGTTTTTAAATAATACTACGAAAGTGTTAACTACCAAAAAACTCATCTATGGGGATTCTACATACTTAGCATCTTATTTCCTTCTAAAATATCTTCAGGGGGCTAATAACATTTATGGAAAATTAAAAATGGGTGAGTTCACATTTCTCTAGCACCCACATTAAAGTGACATGCTTGCACAGGCCACTAGGGAGAGACTTGGAATTTTAGGATTAATCTTTGGGTGAACTGTGAACCAAGTTTTACTGAAGGCTATACTGCTTTCACTATAGCATTAAAGATCCTGTCAAAGTTATATTTAACCATTGGGGAACAGTATAATACAGCAATAATACACTGTGTTGTAGTCTATAGAACTGAAAAGATTTAAGGTAGTATCTACTGTGTAGGAAGGAAAACCCATATCATATGTGGACTATAAATCCATGTTCAACATATACAATATAAAAACATGAAAAGCAATATTCACAAACACAAATTCATAGATGTTTATAGCAAAGGGGAAATTTGATTATATCACCAATGACGAAAATTTTGAAAATCAGAATAAACTTAAATTTTATTTCCCAACTCCAGGCCTCTACATTCCAGATCTCTCTCTCTCTCTCTCTCTCTCTCTCTCTCTCTCTCACACACACACACACACACACACACACACACACACACACAGGCACACTCATTTGGGACAGTCCCAGCAGTGAGTCACTCTTCTGCAGGACACTGGCTTATCAGGAAATGTTTCTCTTCTCGGTTTACTTAATGCTCTCCGTTTTTCTAGTCGTAAATCAAACCAAGTTACCATAGGCAACACAGAGTATTACCTTAGAAACTCCCACTACTTTGAAGTAACAGAAAGCAACAGGTATGACAAAATTAAAGGACTCTACGAAGTATCAGTGAGTCCAATGGTATTTGCTTGTGCTATTTAGGGGCAGAAAGATGCCCTCATCATTATAGTATTTGTGTAGAAAATCACTTCACAAAATCACACAGTGAAATCTGCAACTGAATGTGTATCCTTTTAACTCGGCTGTTCTCATTGATCTATACACTGAATTATGGATTTTTTAAAAAATTTCCACAAAATTTCAATACAAAGGTGGTTTAAGTTTAAATTAGCCTTCTCAGTTCTTAAAATGCATCTCCAAATGCGATGGAAAGGCAATTCAATTTCTACATACTCAGTTCTGACGGTGTGTATTCATCAATAAAGTCACCACCAGCACTTCACTTGCTCTGAGCTGAAATTCACCACCACAGTCTACGTTCAGCCAGGGAACTAGGGGAACTGCAGTCTTTGAAACTGTTTGAAGTGAGGCGGAATATAAAACTTTAGGAGTTTAAGCACCCTGTTAAGCACACTCTATTAAGACAGCAAGTATGGGCTCTTTGGGTAAATGTATACCCCCTGGAAGCTCCCAGTAAGAAGCAGACAGAAACACTGATCATTCCTTTTCCAAAACCACACAACCCACAAAATCATCAGTAACGATTTTAGGCAAAAGTTTCTTATTTTAAAACAAAATAACATAAACAGGAAAGATGCCTTGTTATTATCCAACAACCAGCTTTTAGAAATGCGTTTACATCAAGGTAGAAAAAAAAATCTTTCCTGATCATGACCTAAAGGACTCTAACCTTGGGTTACTTCTCAAGTTTAGCCAACTTCAAGTCAACTCTCAAGTGTTAAGCCCTGAACTCCAGTTACTAAATCCCTTACATTTTTTTTTTTTAAACTGCACACAGCGTCTGCTCCTGTACCCAAAATGAACCCTCTTAAGAAAATAAGTCTCGGTCCACAGGCCATCCTGGCCCCAGGAATGGTTTAGAGTCCCAGGAATCAGCCAGGGGAAGAAAGGAGAGTTTCTCGCCCCAAAGAAACGCTGCCCCGCGCCAGGCTAACTGTGCAGGGCGCAAGACCTCCCTCCGCTGGAGACGCTCGGAGAGGCTGTGACCGCCACCGTCCCGCAGCCTCCGGCCCTTCAGCGCTCCAGTCCTATCCGGGAGCAACTTTCTATTTAAAAAGAAGAAAAACTTTCCTCCCAGGACGCACGCCGGGCTGCGTAACTCGGGAGCCCCAGGCTGGGGCGCACCGACGCGTCCTCCGCGCAAAGCCCCGCGCCGCAGAGCCCACCCTGCCCCGCTCCGCACCTACCTTGACCTCGGCCCCGTCCGGCTCCGCGTCCGAGAAGCCGAGTCCGGACTCGAAGGCGGCGGCGGCGGCGGCGGCGGGCGCCTCGCGCGGTCCCGGGAGCAGCGCAGCGGCGAGCAGCGAACACGCCAGAGAGAAGCAGCCCAGCAAGTGCATGGTGGAAGGACCGGAGCGGGGAGCCGCCGCGGGCAGGGCAGGGCAGGGCAGGGCAGGGCGGGGCGGGGCGGGGCGGGCAGGGCCGGGGCGCCCCTGCGAGCTGCGGTGCCCTCCGCGCCCCTCTCCCGGCTCTGCTCGCGGGGACCGCGGGGCGCGCCGGCGGCGGGAGCTGCAGCGGGAGCGCGGCCGGGCGCCGCGTGCCCAACTTTGCAAGTCGCTCTCCGGCCGGCGGCCAGTGCCAGGGAAGGGCGCCGAGTGTCAGGTAGAAGGCTCACCGGAAACCGGACATCCGAGCTCCCCTCCTCGGACGCCGGCGAGGTGCAGCCGTTTTGTTTTTGCTTGTTGGAGAGCGCGGGGCGGGGTGGGGGCGCCCAGAACCCCGCAACCTTCTATTTGGCGGGCGCCGCCCGAGCGCGCGGCCCCCTCCTGGCTGCCTGCCTCCGCTCGGCGAGAGGACGGAGCCGGCGGCGGCGGCGGCGCGGGGGGCGGAGGAGGGCGGCGGGGCCCGGAGCTCCGCGGCGCGGGAGCCTCCAGTGCGCGCCGGGCGAGCGGCGGCGGCGGCGTTGGCGGGCGCAGGGGCAGGGCATGACTGACGCGCCCTCTGCCTGCGCTTATGTGAGAGAAAGCGGCCGAGGGAGGGAGCGTGCCGGCCCGGCTGCCCTCCCCTTCACTTTCCTCGGAAGCGCGCCCCCTCCGCCGCCGCCGCCTCCCCGCAGCCCCACCTCCCCGGCCTGCCCTTCCTCTTTCTCCTCCCTCCCCAAAGTGGGCGGCCGGACGTGCCAGTTCAGCCGGGACGCAGATCAGGACCCGTGTCAGTGGCACGCGATCGCACGGGCAAGGTTGGAGTGGAGGAGAAGTAGGTGCCTTGCATAGGAAGGAGGGGAACCACCCTTTGTCCCTGGCAGCCCTGGGGCGCCCTCATTGCCCCACTGCCAGAGAGCCACGATTCTTAAGAGAAAGAAAGTCATGGCTCTGGCAGGGACTTTGGCGGCACCTGGGCATAAGCGAAGCCCCCTCCCCCTTTTTCAACTCTGCTTCACTTGGAGTTGCTTGGTGAAGCAAGAACTATGGGACCTATGGAATTGCAGTCACCATGGAGGGGTAGAGGCTACTGACCTCTTCGGAATCCAAAACTTTTGGCGCAGGGAAAGTAGGGCCAGAATCTTCATGGATAGAAGAGACAGGGCCATCAATTTCTGCAGGAAGTTAGTTTAAGTAGAGAAAGCAGATGATAAAGAAGGACACGTGTTAGCATATTCTACGAAGGATGACATCTACAGAGAAGTGGCTGCATTTCTGATTGGAAAAGGACCTAAAAGCTGTGTTCTGGTTCTGGTGCTATGGGCTGTCCAATGACACAAGGTGGCAGGTTGCAGAGATCCAGACAAGAAGCTGCAGGAGCTCCCAGAACATGAAAATCTCATTTTTACTTCCCAGCAACTTTAAATACAATGATTTTATAAGTACATAAATCTTACGGAAGAGAGTTTCATATCTGATTCATATCTTTAGATCCAGAGCTCTTTAAAGCTTTCTTTACCTGAAGACTTAAATACTGTGCCTAAAAAGAAAGGGATCTCTCCATCTTGTTCCCTCTGCATTCTATTTTGTGAAGATTTCCTTCCATCTATTGCTTTTGACGTCTATATTTTTACGTAATAAATCTAGTTTGCACACACATCTCCCTCAGATATTTTAAGTACTTTGTATCTGTCATTTTGCCCTGTGATAACTTTCCTCACTTTTTCCATGTATAACACATCCATTTCTCTCGTCAGTCATAGTGCAAGTTTACGTTGACAAACTATACTGCTCAGAATATGGTTCAGCACTTCAGGTGTCCAGTAAGCATGCAGGTAGGGTGTTCCTTGTCCAGACAGCATGTATTTTTTACAAAGCCTTGGATTAAGTTTATTTTCTGCCAATCAGAAACTAGTATTGGCTTAGAGTGTTAACAAGGGCTCTTTTGGGAAGAATGCAGTGAGTTCAAGACCAGTCTATACTGCATAGTGAGACCCTGCCTCACATAAGTAGATGTTGAAAGACTGTCCTGAGTGACTTCTCTCTGCCTATTCCAGAGCCTGTTGTTTCTCTGCGTCATTTTTTTCTCCCCAACTCATCTCACATTCTAGGGGTAGCTAGCCTTGCAGGGAGATCACCCTATAACAGAAACCAATGTTGGCCCTAAGTTGAAATAATCATCTCAAGTAGGACCTGAACTGCCACCCCCATCCTGCTTCAGCTGCAAGAACAGTTGGCCTGTGACAAAAATCAAAATTGAGTATCATTCCCTGATCCACCATTCAGGAACAGTTATCTTCTAAGAATGAAATTGGCTCCAACCATAAAGATTCATCAGAAGTCAAACGAGGACTGAGACAACAAACTGACCTCAACACGCAATATAAAGTTAAGGAGTCAGTCTGATCTCAGTCAGTTCTCTATCCCTTTAAATTCTCTTTCCTATACTCTCTTGCTTTCTTCTGTTAAGGGACCACCTTGATCTTTGTCACACCTGTGCCTCCCCCCACCCATTTTCTCTTAATTTTCACCTAAAGCTTTTTCTTGAAATTCATACTGATTGCTTCAGTTTTCGTTTTGATTATCCCTGGAGGATCTATGTTAGGCGGTGACAGATTCTGCAGAACCAGACCAGTGGTCAGCCTGACCGCAGTTTGAGGAAAACTGCTTGGCTATGCATCCCTTTGCTCCCTGCCACAGTTCTTCTGCTACAAGATCCTACAACTAGAATTTAAGGGTCAACTCCTTCTGTTTCTTCTCCATAAACTCCTTTCTTCGTCTCTGTCTCTGTCCTTGGGTTCTCCAGTACCAGCAACAGATCTGGTCTTCTAGGATCCTCAGTCTAGCTACTAGCCAGCACTGCAGTAAGAAAATCAACTGAATGTTTCGAGAGTGTCTCATTTATGCTGTTGTTTAGTTATATCTACATTTCCTGTATCAGCGGGATTGGTTTACTATGCTAATGTCTTTGTTATTTGTTTTTATAAATCTCTCCCCTGCCATGACAGCTTTTTGAAATTCTGAAGTCTCCATACTTTCAATCTATTCATCTTCTTTCTGTCTTCCTGATAATTTAAATTAATTAAATTACGGTGAAAGAAGAACTAAGGATGAACTAGAATAAGATTTACATGGAACTTGGAGTTTTCTTGCATCTTTGTTGGTGTATAGTGCTTCTTAACTTTGTTCTTGGGATGACAGATGTTTTCCAAAACAGGTACTGGCATATAGCATTTGAATTCTAATTTAGCTGGTCTGGTGTAAGGATTCAGCATCAACTCCTGCCAGGTAACCACAATCAAGAAACTCAAACATTTCCACAGGGACTAGCATTGTTTGCAGGTTGTAAAATCAACAAACTTAAAGTGAAACAAAATGTATTAACTACTGTATTGTTTAAATAGCACAGTCTGTACTTACTAACATTTCCCTCAAAAGTATTGCTTTCCGACTATTATTCAATAAAGTGCTGACCAAAGATATACTTGAGCAAAAAAAAAAAAAAAAAAAGAAAGAAAAAGAAATATATGTGTGTATACATATATACAGACACACACACAGCGTTGCCTTGATTATGAATGCTTTCTTTATGAACAATTTGATTCAAAAACAGAAGCATTTGGCAAAATTTTGTTTTATTTACAAAATCTGCCTCTGGTGACAAACAGAACCACTATCTTTCCCTCATGAACATGAGCGTGGCTGTCTTTTCCAGAATCGTGGGATGAATTCAGTTCATGAACCAAGGTACCATTGCACATGTGCATACACACACATACGTAACACATGAATGATGGTTGGAACTACTTTTTTTATCCTTACCCCCTAGAAAATAATTTGGGCTGAGCTTGAACTCATGTTGTAGCCCAAGCTGGTCTCAAATTTGCAATGATCCTCCTGCCTCAACCTCCTGAGTGCTGGAATTACAGGCATATACCACCACACTCAGTGCAGAATATTCTTTTATGCCATGAATAGATTTTAAAGCTTGAGAAGCCCCTTTGTACTGGCTTATGAGTACATCACTGAATCAATGCATGATCTGTTTTGCAACAGCGCTTCTAAAGTGCTGGGTTTTTCAGAAAGCATTCTTTAGTCAGTGGGACTAAAAGGACAGCTGGTGGTCTGGGCCAAACTGGAATAACATCTCTGTTTTGTCTATTGGCTTTCCATTTTCTATGATTATGGTGCTTGATAGGAAATAATAGTAATGTGTCCACTGTGCATTCTCTCACATTTATTCTGTCTCCTTTAGTTTATTTGTTTCAGGTTTCGGTTATTTCTTGCTTGCTTGCTTGCTTCTTTAGTTTTATTTACTTATTTATTGCTCCAATTCAAAGCAAGTGCTCAGATCACTTGCTTTTCACCTTTTTAGTCTTTGATGAGCATATTTTAAAAATACAAGTGTTGGTCTGAATTCAACTTTACCTGTGTGTATCAGTTTTGACTGATAATACCTGCTTAGCAGGAGGTTGTAAATATTACATTTGGAGTTTTTTTTGCTTTATTTTACTTCTTTTTATTTTTACTTTATATGTGTTTGCAGTACCCACTGGTTACACACCTGGTAGGGTCCTGGCTGGTGTACACAACACATTTAATTTATTGTTTTCTGTTCCCTCCCCCTCCCTATGCTGCCCCTTCTACTTTTTAGTCTTCCCTGAAAAGTTATTGAATTGTACTGTTTATGTTATAAGCATGAAATTTTGTTACTAATTTGTGATGCTGTTGTATTTATTTGACTTATAAGTGGTGTTGATTTTCAAAATGCATGGTGACTTTGTGACTGTGCATGGTTGATTGTTTCATAGAATATTAATTTTAATGTGTTCATTATAATATTTAAATCTTGTCTGATAATAACTTTAAAAATTCTCCAGTTGTACTTGTTGATTTTTTTTCTATTTCTGATTGTTTTTCTCTTGCCTTTTGACTTAATTTTATGCTATATCATTTTGATCTAATTTTACTTTAAATAGTGTATAATTTTCAGTTTGGAATTTTTTCTTTTTATCTTATTAAGATAAAAGGCTTTAAGAATTGAAACAATCCACAAGCATAACTTAGATAAATCTATAGGCCATTCCTGACAATATGCTTTTGTTGTTTCTTTTGG